TGTATAAACTGTCCTGCTTCGACTTGCTCCAATATCCATCTAATTGAATAGATAAAAAGGGAAGGAAGCGAACGGCAGAGAAGACAAATGACAAGAGAAATAAACAGTAAGGGAAGCGAATGGTGAAGAAGGAAGGCAAACAGCAAGAGAATGGTAGAGGAGACGAACAAAGAAAAAAGAAAACGAATAAACAACAGAAAATGAATAAGGAAGACGAACGGCAAGAAAATAGTAAGGGAGACGAACAAAGAAAGAAAAAAATGAATGAACAACGGGGAGGCGAATGGCAAGGAAGGTGAACGGCAAGAAAATGGTAACAGAGAAAGAAGAATAGAATAAACAAAGAAAGGAAGAGGAAGCAAGGAAAACAAGACGAACAAGGAAAGCGAATGGTAAAGAAGAAAGGAAAACGGCAAGAGAATGATAAGAGAGGCCAACAAGGAAAGAAAAAACAAGGAAGATAAAACAAACAACAAGAAAAGCGAATAGTGAGGGAAGCCAACAAAAAAAAAAGAATAGAACGAACGAATAACGGAAGAAGAAGCAAGAAACACAAGACGAACAAGGAAAACGAATAGTGAAAACAGAAGGTGAATGGGAGAATAATAAGGAGGCGAACAAAGAAAAAAGAAAACGAACAGCAAGGGAGGCGAACAAAGAAATAAAGCGAACGAACAACGGGAGAAGCAAATGACAAGGAAGGAAGGAAAATAGCAAAAGAATAATGAGGAAGGCCAACAAGAAAAGAAGAAACAAGAAGACAAAATGAACGGCAAGAAAAGCGTATAATGAGGGAGGGAAATTAACAAGGAAAGGAGAATAGAACAACAAGAAAGACAAAACGAATGGCAAGGAAAGCGAATAGTGAAGAAGGAAGGCGAATGGTAAAAGAATAATGAGGAGGCGAACAAAAAAAATAGAAAACAAATGGCAAGGGAGGCAAATAATAAGGAAAAGAAGCGAACAAAGAAATAAGAAAGCGAACGAACAACAGGAGAAGCAAATGACAAGGAAAGAAGGAAAACGGCAAAAAAATAATAAGGGAGGCCAACAAGGAAAGAAGCAAGGAAGACAAGACAAACGGCAAGGAAAACGAATAGTGAAGCCAGAAGAAGAAGCAAGGAAGACAAGATGAACAAGGAAAACGAATGGTGAAAAAGGAAGGCAAATGGTAAAAGAATAATGAGGAGGCGAACAAAGAAAAAAGAAAACGAACAGTAAGGGAGGTAAATGGTAAGGAAAAAAGGCAAACGAACAACAGGAGAAACAAATGGCAAGAAAGGAAGGAAAACGGCAAAAGAATGATGAGAGAGGTCAACAAGAAAAGAAGAAATAAAGAAGACAAAACGAACAACAAGAAAAGTGAATGGTAAGGGAGGCCAACAAGGAAAGAAGAATAGAACGAACAAATAACAGAAAAAGAAGCAAGATAAAACAAACGACAAGAAAGCGAATGGTGAAAAAAAAAGGCGAATGGTAAAAGAATGGTGCGGAGGCGAACAAAGAAAAAAGAAAACGAACAGCAAGGGAGGTAAATGAACAACGGGAAAAGCGAATACCAAGGAAGGAAGGAAAACGGCAAGAGAATGGTGAGGAAGGCCAACAAGGAAAGAAGAAACAAGGAAGACAAGACGAACGGCAAGAAAAGAAAAAGCAAGGAAGACAAAACGAATGGCAAGGAAGACAAGACAAATGGCAAGGAAAACGAATAGTAATAGAATGGTGAGGAGGCGAACAAAAAAAAAAGAAAACGAACGGAAAAGAAGCAAACGAACAACAGGAGAAATAAATGACAAGGAAGGAAGAAAAACGGCAAGAGAATGGTGAGAGAGACCAACAAGGAAAGAAGAAGCAAGAAAGACAAAATGGATGGCAAGGGAGACGAATGGTAAGAAAAGCGAATGGCATGAGAATAATAAGGAAGGCGAATGGAGAAGGTAAAATAGGAATGTATAAGGAGGGAGAAATGAATGGTAAATTTAAAAGTAAGAGAAACAAACGAAGAAATTAAAGGAAAATAAATAAATATAGGGATAGACAAATGGATAAATAAAAATTAAATAAATAAAGAATAGTGAAATGGGCGAAATAAATAAAAGTAATAAATAATGGGTAAAAAGTAGGGGAATAGGTAGTAAGTGTAATGGGAAAAGAAATTAATAAATAAAAAAATATGTATAACGACATATATAATAAATAAATAAAATATAACTTACCGAAGATGAAAACGCCGATAATGTCTTTTAAAAGCCATAATTATCCCAGCATCCATCGGTTAAATTTTTGAGGTGGTATTAGAAGGAAGAAAATAAACATCAACATAATCGAGTTTTACACCTTCAATCTTGTAACTTGAACAATTATCAAGTAATAAAAGCACACGTTGACCTTTGTGTTTTTGCATTACTTGATAATTAAACTCTCGAAGCCACTCTTGAAAATTAATGGCAAGCATCCATGCTTTAGAATTGCTTTGATATTTAATTGGTAAGTTTTGAATCTTTACATTTTTAAAGCAACGGGGATTGGCAAATTTTCCGATAATAAAAGGATTTAATTTGTGTGATCCATCAGCATTTGCACACAATGCAATAGATAAGCGTTCCTTATTTTTTCTACGTCCTGCAAGTCGTCGAGATGCTAATGTTCGATCTGGTTCCAATCTGTAATAATAGCATTAAATAAATAAATAAACTATAAAAAAAAAATACATGCATATATTTACCTATAAAAAAGACCAGTTTCGTCCATATTATAAATTCGATTGAGAGGATAATTACTACATTTGTTTTGTAACAATGGTAAAGTTTTTATTATGATATTTTGATCAACAGATGCGGCTTCTCCATAAAGTTTTTGTTGATGAATTCCATTGCGCTCCTTGAATTTATGTAACCATCCATTAGAAAACTTTAATGTTTCTTTAGAAACATCTAATTCATTTGCCAATAACTTTGCTTTTTCAATAATTAAAGCATCACTTAAAATTATTTTATCTTGATAAACCAATATAAATTCCTTAAGAGCAAGTTCAAGTTTTGGAATAGTAACTGATCTATGTCTTTTTGCTTGTGGATTTATAAGTTCAATAGAAAGTCTTTTATCTTTTGTTTGAAGAAGTCTAGTAATTGTTGATTCACTAACTTCAACTTTCCATTTTTGTTTAATCCATTTTACATATTCTGATCTAGTTTTTTCATTATTACGGGCATAAAGACAAAATTCATATTTTTGATAATCGGACAAAGATATTTTAGGCATGTTAATTGTGATAATCAATATTGCATACATATTAAATTTTTTTTTTTATAATATAATATCACATGATAATCATGTGTTGTGCATTTATAGAGGAAATTTTAATATAATAAATTTTAAATTTTTTTGCACGTGCAGAAATTAGAGGTGTGCATTTAATAATATTGCCCAACTTGGGACCAAGCTTAATAGTGCATTTAAAAAGGGTGTGCATTTAGAGAGGGTGCATTTAGAGAGGGTTTTCTGTATTTGAACTTTAATTTCAACAATTAAAATATTATTAAATAAAATAAAATAAACAAAAAATTATTTTTTAAGTATTTTATATTAAATATTAAAATTTTTTTAATTAAATAAAAAATCAAATTTATGTAAACTTAAACTTGCATGTAATAAAATATAACATTAAAACTATAATTACATATTTAATTGTTTGATATCTAATAAAAATTCTTTTGTAACTATATTAATATATTTATTTATTAAGTTTCAATATAGAAAATTTAATTATAAAAAATTTAAAAACTTTCATGTTATTTTAATATCAATAAACTTTATCTTAACAAAAAATAAAATAAACTATAAAAATAATAAATATTTATTATGGTAATATTTTGTATCAAAATATTTAATAAAGAAATAAGTAATCTAATTGAAAAATGATTCATCTTTGTTTTTATCATTTTGTATTGTATTGATTTAATAATTCTTATATAATGAAAGAATCTTAGAATTTTGAAGTAAATATTATTTTATTTTTATAACTTAATTGCATTAATGGAATAGATGAAAAAAAAAAAAAGCAACTTGTAAAAACTCTCTCCTGATCGCGTCCGTTTTGTTAAAAATTTTCCTTTTATGGTAATTTTAAGCAAGAAAAAATGTT